TTTTCTTTCTCTCTCTCTCTCTCTGTCATTCTCTCTATCCTTCTGAGAAGATAAAACAAACTTTTTTTACTTTTATATCTTAATCTCTGAGAAATCTTTCTTCACCCGTGCCATGAGCACCTACTGAGCTTTCCACCCTAACATATCTTTTCTTAAGAAATAATATTGAGCAATAAAAGGAAGTCATAGAAAAATAAATTCAGAATGACTCCATTTGTATAAAGTTTAAGAGCCTGAGAAACTAAATAATATACTGTTTAGAATATAAACATAGGTACTAAAACTATAAAGAAAAGCAAGGAGTGATGAGGACAAAATTTGAGAAACTGGTTCCTCTGCAGGTGAAGGGAAGGGGTGGGCTCAGAGGCCAGTATCAAGTGCTGGGGAGGGTTTGAGGAAGTGAGTCCTGTGTAATGCAGGCTGCAGTGTGGACAGCAGGTCACCGTGTGCCTGTGGAGGCAAAGGCAAGGGAGAACAGAAGAAGAACTGAGGATGCTGTACCAGAATAACTTTCCTACTTTATTTTTGTCTTGGGCTGAAGTTGCCAAAATCGTAACATGGAAATTAGAACCATCTGTTGACAGGATAAGTTGGTGAACTGGACAGAATTTACCAACAGAAATTCAGAATGTATTTTAGAATCTGTGTCAAATCATCGAAAAGTATAAATAAAAGCCTACTTTATTTGAGGGGGGGAAATGATGTCATTTTATCATTGTTTATAACAGCAAAAATATGGAAATAACCTAAGTGACCATTAATATAACACTGGTTAAATAAAATAGAATACATTAATACTATGGTATACTATAATAATAGTCACAAAAAATTAAACAGACCAGGGAAAGAAAAGTGAATCAATGGAAAAGAATGGAGTTGTGAAACAGGTACTATTTAGTACAGGTTAAAAAGTCATTTCAAAACAATAGAGGAAAATGGACTGGTCAATAAATGTTGTTGAGACAACTGGCTGCCCACTGCCCTTATCTAAAACCATTCACAAATACTTTAAATCCAGATGGATTAAGGAACTAAAACAATTAAAACAAATATTAGTGAATATGTACTGTGAATTTGGTATAGGCAAAGCCACCTTAAAAAAACAAAAAACAAAAGCTATGAAGAAAAAGAGGAATAAATGTGACTACACAAAACATAAAACTTCTATAAAGATACCATTAATAAAGTTGAAAGGCAATTCACAGCCTGAAGGATATTTGCAACATAAATAACAGAGAAAGAATTAATAACATATATATATAAAATGCTATAAAATGTACTGAAATGAACAACCCAAAAGAAAAAATATATTAATTATAAAAACAGGCAATCTACAGAAGAGGAAATAGAATATATGCAAATTATACTTACTATGTAATATGACTTTTACCCAAGTGATAAAAATATAAGATTTGAAAACATCAAGCATTGGTTAGGGTCTGAGTAAATATATGTTCTCGTATACTGCAAGCCAGAGTGTAAATTGGTATTGATATTTTGAGGGGCTATTTTGCAGTATAAATTAAAACGAAAATGAGCACACATTCTTAGGGATTCCATTTGTAGGAATATACCCTGAAGAAAGACATGTGTGCACAAGGCTTTTCACTGAAGCATTATTTGTAATAATGAAAAATATAAAACATCAAAATGTCTATCAGTGAGAGAATAAAATATAATATCCAGGTGTTGCAGAATTTTAAAAAAATAATATGGTAAATCTCTACATACTGACATACACTGAAGGATAGCCAAGTGATATTCTTAAATTTAAAAGAAGTTTTAGAAAAATACAGAATAATGTTCTAAAACAAAGTCAATTCTATATCTAAAGGTACATGTATGCATATAAATGCAGAGAAGGTCTGGGGGGTAACCACCACCCTGTTAACAGTAACTCTGGGGAAGGGACTGTGTTGGGGTTAAGGGACACTCAAGGGAGGTTTTAGCTTTATCTATATTGCTTGAATTTTTAAAAATAGGAGTATATTCACTTATTACTCATGTAATTTTAAAATAACATTTATAAGATAATTATGATACAAAATTATAAATTTTGGGGTTTTGGCAAAGTCCTGTGGTAACACAGTGAAAGGAGAAACTAGTTTAGCATGCAGAAAGATCTTATGGCAGTAGTGACATTTTCATTAGGCCTGATGCTTAAATAGGATTTTGTCAAGCATTTATAATTTGATGGAAGATTGTGGCAGATTATATTTTCTAAAGATGACTGTACTAACATCCATCCATCCAATATGCTTTTCTTTCAACATGACATTGACACTCCATGGAGAGGTGGGGTGGGGGGTGGTGTCTATGTCCCCGCCCCCTTGAACTTGGGCAGGACTTCATGATTGCCTTGATGAACAGAATGAGGTAGAAGTATCACAGCTTGACTTCTGAGATTATTCAGCTTCTGCCTGGCTCATTCTTTCATAAAATGCTCATCCTTGGTATCCAGCCATCACGCTGTGAGGAAGCCCAAACTAGCCCATAAGGAAAGACCACATGAAGAGGCTCATGTGGAGAGGAACTGAAGCCCCCAGCCGACAGCCAGCATCAACGCCAGACACGTGAGCAAGCAAGCCTTCAGATGATTCCTGCCCTAGCCTTTGTGTTCCCCAGCTGAGGCCCAGATATGCATCATGCAACAGAGACAAGCCATCCCCACTGTGCCCTGTCCTCATTCTTGACCCAGAGAATCCAAGAGCAGAATAAATGATTACTTTATGCCACAAAGTTTTAGGGCAATATGCTACACAGCCAAAGTAACTGGAACAAAAAACATTCTAAAGAGAAGAAACTACATAAGTAAATAGAATGTCACAGAGCATCGTGAGTATTGGCAGTTTGGGGTGATGATGCCCAAAGTCTGGCTGGGATCAGACTATGAAAAGTCTTATATGGTACTATTTTAAAAGCTAAGACTTATCCTGTTGTCAGTGAAAAATTGTTGAAAGTTTTCAAGCTGGGAAGTAAAATGCTAAGATCTACATTTTAGCAAGATATCTCTGAGACTGCTGTCAAGGAAATATTACAGAAATCAAAGACTTAAAAGTAGAAAAAGCCCCTCTGATTAAGAGGGGTCCTGGCCAAATAAAATGGTGAGATCACCCCTCAGGCTACATGTTTTGTGACTTTTTTCCTCTTTACCATTGCCTTTGATGTTCATTTATATTCAATTTCTCCTGTGTTAAAATGCTTTGAGGGAAAACTTTTGTCCACACAAAACCTGCCACAGATATTTACAGCAGCTTTATTCATAATTGCCAAAACTTGGAAGCAAGAAAGATGTACTTCAGTAGGTGAATAGACAAATAAACTGTGGTACAATCCTATTCAGCAGTAAAAAGAAAAGAGCTATCAAGCCATGAAAAGACATGGAAGAACCTTAAATGCAAATTACTAAGTGAAAAAAGCCAATCTAAAAATCACATATACTGTATGATTCCAACAATGTGACATTTCGGAAAAGGCAAAACTATGGAGACAGTAAAAAGACCAGTGGTTGCCAGGGGTTGGGGGAAGGAGAAATGAACAGATAGAGGATAGAGGATTTGGGGGGCAATAAACTACTTTGTATAACACAGTAATAGTGGATACATGTCATTATATATTTGTCCAAACTCACAGAATGTACAATAGCAACAGTGAGCCCTATTGTAAACTATGGACTTGGGGTGATTACCATGTGTCAATACAGGTTCATCGATTATATAATAACAAATGTGCCATTCTGGTGTGGAATAGTGATGGTAGGAGAGGCTGTGCACATGTGGGGGAAGAGGGGATATGGGAACTCTGCTTTCTGCTCTATTTTGCTGTGAACCTAAAATTCTCTAAAAAAGAAAATCTATTTCAAAAATGTTAGGAGGGAGAAATATTAGGGGATATTAGAATCCAAAAAAAGATTTCCTTACTGCTCTTCTGTCAAGCTTCTGGATCTGTTTAAGAATACAATGCAAGCTGTCTAAAAATTATAACCATTATAACTAATTATTCATATGAATAATGCCATCCTTATACAAACATAACCATAACCCCCAATTTCTTGTTTTTGTGTTCATTAAAATATCCTCATCATTCTCACAACTGGCTTTATAAGAAAACTCTATAAATTTGAAGTTATAAAATAAAATAAATCTATACTAATAAATTATTGCATTTACAGTTTGGATATTGTGAATGTATATAAGGGGAAAATTTGAGGTTCATGGTCCAAGAAGAGGGGGAAGATGGAACTCAAAACATAAGGTGCCACCTCTCTGATAAGGGAAAGGATGCCTGGATGAATAGAAAAGCAAAGATTTATGAAGGGATGAAAAATACTATTAAGAACATTTCATCCTCTTCTTGGTAGAAGATCTTCCATCCTACTTTCTGAGAAAATCAAGAGGAAGAATGCATTGAAAATTGAGAGTTCATGGAGAATAAAGACAGGATGGAGTGAATCAATCAGATTCTAAAGTATCTAGAGTAGCAGCAGAGCTCAGCTGGAATTTAATAGTGTAATTTATTGGAGGCCAGTTTTATATAATTTTATACTATGCCTTTCTCTAATGTTAATTATTCAAGAGATGATTAACCAATTTGTAGGATACTATGCATCCTGCCTTTTCACATTTCCACTTAATGCTTGCTTATGAAAGATGTCATAATTTAAATTCTGTATCAAACAGAAGTTAATAAGAAAAGGAACTGAAATTAATTTTCTGCTTTTTTTAACCAGTTGAATAAGAATTAAGGCTTAAGTTAATTTTTGAAAGAATGAAAAAGAAAAAAAGTAAAATAGAGAAAAAACACTGAAACAAATGCTAAGATTATAGGACCACGTTGTGGGTTGAATTTTTCCATGCTAGTCCTGCCCCTCATTACGAAAGCTACATAAAAGCCAACTGCTGCTATATTGCACAAAATAAAATCTGATAAAAAACAAATCCTGCCCAGTGTTTCTTATTCACATTTCTTTGAATAAACTTCCTATTCCTTAATCAACTTACTCGCATCCGAGAGGATACAAACTTCTGTTTCCCCTTCTGACGATGATGTAATTGAAGGGATAAAGGAAGGAGGTATTGTTGGTACAAGTGGCTTTGGATCATCATCATAAAACAGCATCAGGTCCTGAAAAAGACACAAGAATGGGAGAATTGAAAAAAAAAAACAAAATTAATCTCACTGTATAGACAACTTATAGAGCTATAAAGTGTCTATATGCGCAAACATCATCATAAACACATTTTAAGTAACTCACACATAAGTTATCTATATATTTGGGCGTCTACTGAATATAGGGTGGTTGTCGACCCTTGGGAATCCCCATTCCTTGCTGAGGACGCCTTGTGTAGATAGCAATGATTTTGTTTAGGTATTACCTTTCCATACCACTTCTTGAGCATCCTCAGAGCATACTATCTCAGAGGTCAATTATTTTGTTTCACTGGTGATAATTAAGCCACCTGTATCTTTCATTCATATTTTAAATTTTTAACTTTTTGTCATGGAGTAAAATGTAGACAGAATAATCAATCTAATCACGCAGGTTAAACAATAATCAACTCATAGCTAATCTTGTTTCATTTATATCCCTATCATTTATATCCCATCTGTTTTACTTTGAAGTAAATCCTAGAACAATTACTTATTTTACTATGTACCTCTGTCTTAGTCCATTTAGGCTGCTATAACAAAATATTAATACCATCAATTTGGTGGCTTATAAATAACAGAAATTCCTTTCTTACAGTTTTGGAGGTTGGCAAGTCCAAGATTAAGGTGCTGGCAGATTTTATGTGTGGTATGGACCTGCCTCCTAGACAGTCATCTTTTCACTATAACCTCTCATGGCAGAAAGTGGCCACGTAGCTCTCTTGGGCCTCTTTTATAAGGGCACTAATCACTTCCCAAAAGTCCCACCTCCTAATACCATCACCTTGGGAGTTAGGATTTCAACATATGAAATTTAGAGCAGAAACAAATATTCAGACCATAGCAATCTCTAAATGACAAGAACTCTTTAACATAATAATTGTATCAAATTGATAAACTTCACAACTCCTACTGTCATCAGTTACCATTGATTTACAATTTCTCATAAATGTCATAATTAGGATTTTCTACTGCTTGTTTGAAAGAAGATCCAAATAAAGTCTATAGAGTAGGATTGGTTGGCATGTCTTTTTTTCTGTGAACTGGGGATAATTTTTTTCCAGTACTTTATTGATGTACAATTACCATACAGTAAAATGCACCAACTTTAAATGTAGATCTCAATAACTTTTATCATGTGTATACCTATCCACATTTCCTTCACTCCAGGAAGTTCCCTCAAGCTCCTTTCCAGTTGATACCATACCCCTGAAACACACTGTAAACACTATTCTATCTCTGTCACCATCAGTGAATTTTGTCTGTTCTTGGACTTCACATGAATGTAATCACATACTATTAAGTGATTACATATTGCAACAAAATGTTTGTGCGATCCATCCATGTTTTGTTGTATTAACATATTGGTCATCCCTCTCTCCCTCCCTTCCTACATGTAAGAAATATTCCACTGTGTGAATATATCACAATTTGCTTATCCGTTCTCCTGCATATGGATACTCGGCTTATTTCCAAATTTCAGCTATTACAAATAAAGCTGCTATGAACATTCTTGTACAAATCTTTTTGTGGAGAAATGTACTCATTACATTTAGCCATATCATTTTGCATTCCTACAAGTAATATATGAGTGTTCCAATTTCTCCACATTCTCACCAGCATTTGGTGTTATCACTATTTTTTATTTTAGCCATTTTGATATTTCATTGCATGTTTAAATTACATTTTCCTAAACGCTAATGATGTTGAACATCTTTTCATATGCTTACTTACCATCTGTATTTGCTGAAATGCCTGTTTCTATCATTTGCCCATTTTCTAACTGGATTGTTTCGTTTTTAAAATGGTGAGTTTTGACAGGACCTTATATGCTACAGATATTAGTCCCTTGCCAGATGTGTAGTTTGCAAATATTTTCTTCCAGTCTGTTTCTTGCCTTTTCATCCTCTTAACAGGGTCTTTTGCCAAATAATATTTTTTTAATTTTGATGAGGTCTGATTTATCAATGTTTTCCTCTTAAAGATCATGCTTTTGGCCAGCTCTAGATCTCAAAGATTTTTCTCCTATATTTTCTAAAAGTTTTCTATTTTACATTTAAGTCTGTGATTCATTTGTAGTGAATTTCTGTATGAAGTTTAGGTTGGGATGTGTGGTTTTGTCTGAATGTCCAGTTGCTCCAGCATCATTTGTTTAAAAGACTATCCTTCCTCCATTGAATTTCTTTTGCACCTTTGTCAAAAATCAGCTGGCCATATTTGCGTGGGTCTATTTCTGGGTTCTCAATCCTATTTCACTGATTCAAGTGTCTATCTCTCCACCAATACCATACTCTCTTGATTACTGTAGCTATACATAGGACTTAGTATCAGGCAGAGTGATTACTCCCATTTTATTCTTCCTTTTCAAGATTATTTTAGCTATCTAGGGCCAGTGCCTTTCCATATCAATTTTAGGATAAGCTTATTATCTATATCGACAAAAAACCTTGCTGGGATTTTGATAGGAATTACATAAAACCTATAGAGTAATTAGAGGCATCTTTATTATGTTGAATTTTCTAATCCATGTACATTTGGGCCTTCTTTGTTTGGATCTTAATTTCTCTCATCAGTATTTTATAATTTTCAACATACAGAACCTGTACATGTTTTATTACATTTATACCTAAGTATTTCAATTTGGAAGAGTGATTATAAATGCCATTACATCTTAATTTCAGTTTCCACGTGTTCACTGTTAGCATGTGGAAATTCACCTGACTTTCGTATGTAATTTTGTATCCCACAAGCTTACTGGTTCTATGAGGCTTTTAAGTTTTGTTTTCTTGAGATTTTTTATTTAGACAATCATGTCATCTCTAAACAGGGGGAGTTTTATTTCTTCCTTTACATTTTGCATGCCTTTTCTTTCTTATTCTTGCCTTATTACAATGCCTAGAACTTCCAGTACTATGTTCAAAAAGAGCGGTGAAAGCAGATGTCCTTGCTTTGTTCTTGATCTTAGAGGGAAAGTATTCATCAAGCATAACGTTAATTGTAGGTTTTCTACAGATGATCATTATGAATTTAAGGAAATCCTCTTCTATTTCTAGTTTGCTAAGAGTTTTTTTAAATCATATGTGGGTGTTGAATTTTGTCAAATGCTTTTCTGCATCAATTGAGATCATCCTATGACTTTTTTTCTTTAGCTTGTTGATATGATATATTACGCTGATTGATTTTCAAATGTTGAACCAGTCCTCCATGCCTGGATTAAATCCTCCTTGGTTGTGGTGTATAATTCTTTTTATATGTTGCTGGATTCCATTGGCTAATATTTTGTTGAGGATTTTTACATCGAATTTCATGAGGGATATTGGTCTGTAGTTTTCCTTTTTTGTACTGGCCTCGTCTGAAGTTGGTATCAGAATAATACGTGCCTGATAAAATGAATTGGGAAGTGTTCCCTCCTCTTCTATTTTCTGGAAGACATGGTGTAGAACTGCTGTTAATTCTTTAAATGTTTGGTAGAATTCTCTAGTAAAAATATCTAATCCTGGAGGTTTCTGTTTCAGGAACTTATATTACAAATGCAATTTTTAAAATGATTATAGGATGACTATTAAGGTGCTAGTTAATCTTGATTGTACATTGGTAGTTTATGTTTTCTGAGATATTGTTCTATTTCTTCTAAATTGTAAGCATAGAGTTGTTGTAAGTATTATCCAACAATTATCTTTCATTATCCTTTCATCTTTCATGGTAGAGGGAACTGCAGTGATATCCTTTGTTTCGTCATCTTGATATTGATGATTTGTGTCTTCTCTCTTTATCTTTGTCAGTCTCCCTACAGGTTTATCAACCTTTATTATTTTTTTATTGTTAGTTTATTTTGACTTTGTTATGTTCTAGAGTAAGTCATATACATTAGGAAGAAACAATAATTTGAACATCGGGCTTAATATTTACTGTTGTTTTCTTGTTTTCAATTTCATTAATTTCTGCTCTTTATTATTAATATTTCCTTTCCTCTATTTTTAGTGGTTTATTTCACTTTCCTTACTTTCTTGAAGAAGGAATTTAGATTGATTTTAGACCTTTCCTTTTTTCTAAGTGCTATAAATTTTCTTCTAATACTTTAGCTGTATTTCACATATTGATATGTTGTGTTTTCATTCAGTTCTGTGTATTTTGCAATTTCCTTTGAGACTTCCTCTTTGACCTATGAATATTTAGAAGTGTTTTAAATTCCAAAAATAATTTTTTTTTTTTTTTTTTGAGACAGAGTCTCACTCTGTTGCCCAGAGTAGAGTGCTGTGGCATCAGCCTAGCTCACAGCAACCTCAAACTCCTGGGCTCAAGCGATCCTACTGCCTCAGCCTCCCAAGTAGCTGGGACTACAGACATGTGCCACCATGTCCGGCTAATTTTTTCTATATAGATTTTTAGTTGTCCAAATAATTTCTTTCGATTTTTAGTAGAGAAGGGGTCTCCCTCTTGCTCAGGCTGGTCTCGAACTCCTGACCTTGAGCGATCCACCCACCTCGGCCTCCCAGAGTGCTAGGATTACAGGCGTGAGCCACCGCACCCGGCCCCAAAAATAATTTTTAAGGTAAAATTTATCATGAGTTTATACTGACATACTTCCAATTCAATTCAAGTCTATCAGGTTATGACAATCTCTTATCCCTTACATCCATTATCTCCTTTATCCCATGCTGAGAATCCCAGTTCTCAAGCCATCAAAGATGATACAAACATAGTATCACATGATTATCCATTTGATTCATCACACATTATACTCACAATAATCTCAAAGCAAAATACAAACATTGCAGAATGAAAACACTAACTAAATGCAAGGTGCATTTGTTTAATTTTACTTTACATTTTTAGGGATTACTTTTTATTTTATAATTATGCAAAATACTTCCAGGGTTCCCATGACAAATCTAAAAACAAGGTATATTCAAAGAAATCCTGCTTCTATTCCTCCTCTCCACCTTATTCCCTCTACCTTATTGTGGCCGAAAGTT